TCGCCTATGGCCAATTTTGGGTATTATCGGTTTTTTGAGGTTTCGCGCGCGCACGCAATTTTAAGGCTTGACATGTTTGGTGTCTTTTTACCCGACGTGACCCAGTCTTTTATATTTTACCAAAAAGTTGGGTAATAATAAATGTTTTATCATTTAATATAGGGGAAACTGTTTTTTTAAAAAAAATTTCGGTGATTTTTCCTTAATATAGTAAAAAAATAAAAACCCCAGTGGTGAATAAATACCACCAAAAGAAAGCTCTATCTGTCCCCAAAAAAGGGTATAAAATTAATTTCAGTACAGCGCTGCATGACGGAATAAATGTCAGTCAAAGTACCGCAGCGCTGAATACTGAAAAATGGCCTGGATTGGAAGGGGGTTTAAAACCGCGGATGTCAACTGGTTAAAAGACACTTATCCGGCATAACCAAACAGCTGTGATCATTGTGCAGTACAACAGAACCTAGATTCAAATGTAAGTTTCATCATTAGAACAATTCAGTGCCACAGAATGAGATGATCCAAGACTGAAAGGTTTCAACAGATTAGGCATTATATTGTAACCACAAAGGTCACTGATAGTCATAAGCAATAGTTTGGAAACCCTGCCTCACAGTACAAGTTTTGCTGATTTACACAGAGAGCTTAGCCCAACCTGTGCAGTGAACACAGTCTGTAGTCCCCTTATGACAGCAGAGGACCTACATGAAGGCTTAACTGTCCCAGGAGTAGTGAACTCGTCCACTGGACAGCATTGTTTAATGGGCAAATTCCATGTTCCCAGGTGAATTTGGGAAAATGGAATTACCCCCACCAATCTTCCCCATCTTCTAGCTGCCCTTTAGTAAATGATCGCCCTTTCCCCTGCATTGTTGCTGGCATAATATCTGTAGGATTGCAGCCCTGTGGTATGTATATTAAATTTTACCCATAAATGGTGAGTCACCTGAGCCCACTGACCAATAAAAAGCACCTCTCCCTGACCGGTGCGGGCCGCTCTCTCAATGGCCGGTGCGCGCCGCCCTCTCCCTGGGAGGGAAAAGGGCAATCATTAACAGGTAAAAGCCGCGGGGAGGGAGAGGGTGCATACTGCTGGGGGAAATTCCATATATCCAAATTCACCTGGGAAAGTGAAATTACCCTATAACTAACATGATTTGCATGGAAAAACCATCAGAAGTTTTTGTGTTAGCCTGTGGAACTGGGGACATCGTTCATGTATACAAATCCTGGAGGCTAAATGTCCTAATGACAGTAAGGAAACTGAAGCTGAAAAGATATAGATTTCAAAGGACAATAAAAAAAATGCAGAATCCACTACTTCAGGATACAAAGAATTAAATAAATCTAGGCAAACAGCTAAATACAGCGCCAATACATATATGTTTACCGTTTTCCAGCCAAATGAATTGTAATTCTGTACACACATCTGCCAGTGTTCAGCCAGACAAAAGGTACACTAATTTCTTGGTTCAACAAGGAACTCAAACAGGGGCGTCCCGAGGCTGGGTGACACCCGGAGCGGTAACCGACTGTCACCCCGCCGAGACGGCACTGCGCATGACGTCATCGCGCACGCGCGGCAGTATTCTGATACCTGCACCAAATCGGTCAAGCAAAACAAATGACAAACGCACTCAACAATTTGTCACCAGTTATACAGTAAGGTGCACACGAAATGGGCTTTGAACAGTAAAACAGTAGAAAGTGATCATGGCACACTCACAAACCAGCATGTAAAACAACAGCATGTAAAGCACCCAATTTGAAATCTTCTGCCCCCATGTGCTCCAAGATGGAGACTCTCATAGTTTAGTTAGGACCGCACTATAAGGGGTGCCTTGGCGCAGCTTTCACATTTTCTGCAGAGGACGTGTATCCAAACCTCTGTTATTGACCTTAGTGGTGAGACAAGTTGTTTTACATGCTGGTTTGTGAGTGTGCCATGATGCCTTTCTACTGTTTTACTGTTCAAAGCCCATTTCGTGTGCACCTTACTGTATAACTGGTGACAAATTGTTGAGTGCGTTTGTCATTTTATTTGCTTGACCGATTTGGTGCACCAACGCATGGGGGTTCTCAGCTGCCATTGGGATGTGCGGGATCCCTTGTGTGTTTATGTGCCTTTAAGGAGGCTGGGATTCCTCCTGACAAACCTGCACCCAATTTGAAATCTTCTGCCCCCATGTGCTCCAAGATGGAGACTCTCATAGTTTAGAGTTAGGACCGCACTATAACAGGTGCCTTGGCCCGGCTGTGCTGCTTTCACATTTTCTGCAGAAGACGTGTATCCAAACCTCTGTTATTGACTTTAGTGGTGAGACAAGTTGTTTTACATGCTGGTTTGTGAGTGTGCCATGATGTCTTTCTACTGTTTTAGTATTCTGATACCTGCCGGCGGCCATCTTGGTGATGGACGCCGCCAGAGAGAGGAGGGCACAGTCACTCGGCGGGATAAGGTATGCCGCCGGGTCCCCTCCTCTCTCCTGATACTGTCGGGCGTTCGGTCCATGACCGAGCGCCCGACTTTTCAGAGAGGGGTGACACCAAAATGACTGAGGGGCCACACCCCCCTTGTGACGCCACTGAACTCAAACTGAACCAGGTGGTAGTGGAGCAATTTGTGGCAGAGGTATGTAAAGTACAAGACTGAAAAAACAATATTACAAATCATTTAGCAGATAAAATAGTAAACAAATGTATTTCAACTGGGTATTTATTTGTATGGAGTTCTTTAAGGTTTTGGAACGGACTACCATGTAAAGTGTATTTTCACTTTTGCGGTCAAAATTGGGAACACACTACTATATTTATCCAATTATGTTTGTTATGTGATCCTATCCACACAGCATACCCAAATATATATTTTTACCTTTTTAGATATCTGTATTCAACAGGCTTTAACAAGCTTCTCTCTCAATTTCAGTGCCTGGAAACGCTGACTGTCCTGATTGGAAAACTTGGGACAGACTGAGATCTCCCTCATTAACATACAATGCTTCTAGATCATTAACCATTTATTAGGACAGACAAGTATAAAATCTAATTTACAACTGATAATGAGATTTGCCAGCACCGCACAGACAGCGTTAACTATCGTAAATATTACCCTCGCCCACCAACCTTGCATTCCGGAGAGAAATACAGTATAGAGAACAGCATTTCTTTCAGAATTGAGCATGTTTTGTGCAAGCTACAATGTAATTTTCGTCTAAAGTAACATTAAAGGCTATCCCACACACACACACACACACACACACACACACTCTATGGTAGTGTAAGGACTTACCTTAAATGATGCCTCTTGATACGATCATCTTCTTCTATAATGTCGTTTTCAGCTGTCCCTCCAGCACTGGTGGGGGTCTCCGATCCAGCGCTGACTCCTCTGTCCTCCTCTTCCCTGATGTCCCATAGAGTCTGTGCGGGTGCACGCTGCTCCATAGACTTACCTCGTGTCTCTCGTCTTGAACATCTGAACTGCGAATGCGCTTGCCCCAAGATCCTTTGCGGCCGCCCGAGACTCTTCACATGTTCGGACGGGAGCGTGCGGCTGAGACACAAGTTTAAACCCGTTTCAAATTTTTTTTTTTTACGTTTTTGCATATATCTACCGCTTGCTAGCAGTAGATATATGCAAAAAAAATGTGAGGGTTTAATAACCGTTTAGGTTATACTCTGTGAATGAGAAACATGGAACAAATATAGAATATTTGTTATCCCAATTTGGCTGCAAAAGCGAAAATACAATTTAACCTCCCTGGCGGTCTGATTATCTCAGTATTTTTTTAATTTTTTTATTTCTTCTATTTTTTACTTTTTAATTTCCCGCCAGTTCCGCCCCCCTGCAACGCAGGCGCTCACAAGGGACGGAACCTGGAAGACGGATGCCGGAGGACACAGTGGGACTCGTAGGGACAAGGTAAGTGATGCACAGTGTAATCCCGAGTGTGGCTCGGTGGTTACCGCTTTTGGTACTGAAAATGAACCCAGAGCCACGCTCGGGAATACCGCCAGGAAGGTTAATACTGTTGAAAACCTTTGGATAAATCTCAAACATCGTGTGCTTTCAAGAATTCTTCTAAATAGCAACTTTCAGCAAGAAAGAGTTGGGGAAAATCCTAACAGAGGTTCCAAACGAGGCGATCAAACGTAGGAACCATGTCAGGTGGAGATAAAAAACAGGTTCATAAATATGAAGGTTTTATTATATGAATGTTCAATTTTATGTGGGGGGGAACATACTAAAGGAAATATTTTTGTGAATTGAACATTTTGAGGGCTTAGAAAAACATGCTGGTTCATTTGTTTCCATTCTTCTAAATTCAGCAAATATCATGCTTACTTTTATTCCCTTTAAAGGCTGTGTTACTTTCTTTTCTCGGAGATAAATCAACAAAAACATGTAATTTCAGTAATGACGACATCATTTAAGTACACTCTTTTGGGCATTGTATGCATTGCTAAAATATTGCTGGCACTCACCTTTCATTCCTCTGGTAATCTCGAGCTCAGAGTCTCTATCTTCAGTGCTGGCAGGTCCCCTGGACGTTAGCAGTTGAAGGACAAAAAAGAACTCCAGAAATATATTTGGCACAAGGTTTTCTGCAGAAATAGAGGAACTCAGTAATGTTTATCATCACAAATCTAATAAAAAGCAAAGAAAACACTCTTCCTGAATATGGGAACAGAGTCTCAATGATGTATGAGATCACTAAGGAATTGACAGACCTATAGGATTGGACAGCCAGCATGCTAATGTTCCAATTCACCTCTCTCCAGTCAACCCAAGTAACAAGCAATCTGATTTTAATACAGTAAAGTGTGTGATAGTAACGAAGACAAACCAGTATTCCCGTTAAAGTGCAGGTACACCCAAACCTTGTCAACTTTTAGCATTCACTTGCTCTCATGGAGAAGTCCCATCTCAAAAGAACAGATTTTTCCTCACCTCTTTTCTGGTAACTGTCAAATTTATGATTTTCTATCATGTGAACCAGCTGGGCCACATGCAGCAACAACAAAAATTACAGAATTTTACTATATATCCATTTATTTTACTATATATCTATCCAGCTGTGAAAAGCTTTCAGGAAAGTGTCTGAATTATTTTTTTTTTTTTTTAGCGTTCATCCTGTACCCCAGAAGGATCAGTCCCAAACCACTGCCAAGCCTTGTCCACAGCCAAGCGTCAAGTGTTCCAGGACCTGTAAATCTTCTAGACTGACTGAAAAAAGTCTGAAGCAGCATGGAGGTCATCCCCCAACAAGCCAGCTGCTTTGGCTAGTTTGCCAATACTTAGCTCTGCCGTGTTTCTAACATCTGGGGTAATGGAGATCAAATATTTTCCTTCCCCATGACAGATTTCAAAATGTTTCTTGTTCCCAACTGTGTGTTTCCAAGCTCTTTGAGGCTCTGCAGGGTTCCATCATTCAGGGACGTTGTTGTCCCAGCAACCCCAAAACCAGAAACATTTTAAGGTTTTTATTCCACTCTATTAAAAGGAGAACTATGAGATGAGTGATTTCCACTCACCTCATAGTTCTAGCCGACCTGTGACAATGAGACTGTCACAGGTCGGCTCAGTAGATCGGGAGGTGAGCGAACACATACCAGGTTCGCTCACCTCTCGATCCTGTCACGGCTCTCTGCCATGACAGGGGAGAGCCTGGATTCCCCCCTCCCCGCTCCGATCTGCCAGCGCTGACTGGCAGAACGGACAGGGGAGGGGGCGGGTACAGCTGGCTCGGCCTCTAGATAGGCAGAGACAGCTGTCACTCACGCAGCTGGGCGGATCCCGTCATCTACGTCGGGATCCGCTCCGGCTGCAGCGTCTCAGTATACCGCGAGCTGTAGCTCACGGTATACTGAGCTTAGGGTAACGGGAGGACGCTAGTTTGTGTCCTCCCGTTACCCTAAGGAGAACTATGGGGAAAAACACTGACCCCATAGTTCTCCTTTAAAGCTTCTCATGAAGGATATTGTGGTTGGAACACACAGCCCTCACTAGCTTCATCACTCTCTGGAAATTCTGCTGGGCCCTGGAAGGTGCTTGGAACAAAGGGATTCCTGGCCTTGGTGGACATCTGCAATGCCTTTATCAAATTTGCCAATTTTCCCCCATCAACACCAGTTTTTCTTTGCTTTGCCCTAGGAGGACATATATTTCCATTTTGTGGCCCCCACTTTTGGGCTTGTCAAAGCACCTAGAGTTTTTCCAAGACTAAGGCTTCAGTTCAAGTGATCTTTCAAGTCAGAGGGTTCTTTGTAGTCCCTCAACTGGATGATGTTCACATGAAGGTACTGGCCTATCAGAAGGGTTTCCTCATCCTGCTGAGTTCCCTGGACACCCTTCAGGGATCAGGCTAGACCACAGACTTCTCCAAATCTCCGTGGGATTTAAAATTATGAATTTAGTGGTCCAAAAGGTTGGCGACCACTGCTCTAAAGAGCCAGTCTTTCCCACTGGGACAACCAGTCACTCTACCTAGTCAGATGAACAGAATCTTTCCTGTGGTGTATTTTTGTACACTGGTTTCTCTGGGTTGATCTTTGGTTCCTCATCCAGTGAAAGCATCCTAACAGAATCACATCCCAGCTCTTCTGCCATTCACATTCCAGGTAAACGGCTGTAGCCACCAGAAAACTAAATTGGGAGTGGGCCCCTTACAAGAAGCTTTTCACAGTATCTGCAGCTTAGGAGCACATCATATGTTGATAGAATAGCTTTACAAGTCCGAAAGGTCACAGCCCGCTCCAGGGTTACTCATGCCAACACCATCAATGGTCTTATCAAACAATTGACCCTGCACAACTCCCTTTTGCAAAAGTTGTCCTTTTTGTCCATCACCTTGGTCAGGAAGGTTCATGACTTGCCAGTCCTTTCCGGTTAGTCCACCTTCTTAATTTAATAATAAGGTCAAGGTCGTACTTTGTCATTATTTCTTCTTTACAAAGTGGTCCAGGCTTTTCACCTCAATTAGGACATGGTCTAAGCTTTATTTTGCCAATATATTAGATAAGGCGTCTTAAAGGTAAACTGCAGCCATGTAGAAAATTCCATGCTATACTATGCCTGGTTTTTGTTCTGAAAATGTCATCTTTATGTGAATTCTATAGCCATGACTGCCTTCAATTTCAGTTTAAGAACTGGCACTTGTCAAACTGTCTGGTTGCAGAGGAAAACCAGATAAAATCTGCCCATTAACATCTACTGCATTGTCTGTGAATAAAGTCTGTGGTGGTGAATACATCCCATCTGTAGAAGCACTCAATAAAAGGAACCTGCAAGTGGTTTAAAAAATAAATCTTTGGAATTCAGGAAAATCAACCAAATTTCACAACTTAATTGGGTGTAATACATAAAACTATTGGGATGGCTACACATCACCTTCAAATTACAATAAACTGAATTAAAATACACACGGCAAAAAATAACTACCTGTTATGCAGGATGAATAAAGTTTAGCAAGGATTTCTAGTCTTTTCCGACAGGACACTTTGCCAAGGTCAGCGTACGTCATCATATCCGATAAAACACCGCTGTTACGGTTGTAGGTCTGTTTGGTGGGAGTGATGGGATCTAATGCAACTGGAGAGGAAGTCTGCTGCAGCAGTTTGGACCTACAAACAAATATATTAAAATAGACCAGGTGCCATAAAAATGATTCTCATCCTACAGGTTTAATATATGTGTGGCATTCCCCAATATACATACTTTTAACATACTGATAATGAACTTAATTCTTTAGTTCTAAGTGTGGGACAGTAACAAGCATATGCTGAAATAAACTATCTAGACCCAGGTTGGTGGTTGGCTCTTCCAGATTTTAACACTATTTTCTTGCCATCTATTATGTGGCAGCTCGGCTTTTACACCTGTACAATGGAAAACAGAGGCTCCAAGTTTTTTTGAACTACCAAAAGAAAACAATTTTGCCAGGATTCTGCCAAGATACTTTATTTTCAACAAAAAAGATCAATTACATGGCAAAACAATCTTCTTGTGCAACTGGTTTCTTAAAGATGTATTCTTTTTATCCAAATGACAGATCCTCTCACTAATGTATTGTTAGAGGAATGGTCAGCAAAAGCCAGTGCAGAGCAATAATGGACAATGCTCAGAAACCCACAGAAACCAGAAAACATTTTGTACCGCTAGTAAAGTGAATTCTGCTTGGTTACTATAGTTTACAGCACCCTACACGTTCATGTGGCTCTTCCCTGAAGGACAAACTGAAGCGAGTGCTGACCAGTCTGTGGATTATTTCAGTTTTTCAAGTAAAAAGACTGCAGGTACGATTGTTTATGTTGTAAATTGTTACAATCGTCCAAGCTCACTTTTGTGATGGACTTCAAACTCAGGTTTAGTTTATTCATTTGTATTGAAGTTATGATCTATCGCAGGAGCAATGGCTACTTTACAACACACACGGGGACCATGGGGGACAAAGGTAGCCACCCTCTAGAAGGAAGGACAGTGTCAGCACCAATTCAGAGATGATTTGAGGATCTACAGCCGAGTGATAAACAAATAAGATACATTTTTGGTACTAGTTAAGGTACTTGAATGCATTTTCAAGAAATAACTCATACGTTCAGTGTCACCTTAAATTTGCATGGAAAGTGAATACCCACAGCTGGCGGTAAGATTAAATCTGATTGTTTGAATATAAAGTGAATTTTAACCGATCAGAAGTCAATATCACTTATTTCAGTATGATGTATAAGTATATGAACCAGCTCCATAATGTGCAATATTCCTTACATGCTCCATACATTTTTCAACAAGGTTCAACACCAACTCATCACTGTCATTTCCGGCATCACGGGTAAGTCCATGTCTAAATAAAAGCATCTGGAATAACCACTCCACCCACGGTAGAAATGTAAAAATTGCTCTGGTCCATAGGGCATGTACACATGAGAGATGAACCGGTTAAGGGAACCAAATAGGGCTGCAACAACTAATCGACATAATCGTTTATAATCGATTATTGAAAAAGTTGTCAACTTTTTCAATAATCGATTAATCGGCTTCCGATCAGTTGGCCCTGTTCACGGCAAAGTCAGATTCTAATTTACCACTTCAGAGGCAAAGTGTTTTAACCTACAGAACCTAGTCAGCAATCATATTTCATCCTTCTATTCCTCAAACTGACAATCTCACTGCACAATAGCAAAGCAGGACGACCAATACACAATCATACAATAGCACCAGGTAATGTAAAACAATAACCATACCTTTCCTTGCGCAGTATCTCCCTCTCTTCCCGTAAACTGCCTGCATCAGGGGCGCATACTCCTTCCTGAACACTTGTAAATGCCTCCATTCCTGGGTGGCTGCGGTCAATGTTAGAGGTGCTGATAGGAGTGGAGGTAAAGCATATCCTAGACTTGGAATTCACATCATTAAGAGGAGTTGGATTGATCCTTCTCAATGGCTTCGATTTGCTGTAGGAAACAAAATTCAAAACGGATTTAGAACCACTAGCCCAAATTGAACTTTAAGCCTTAATGAGCAAAATTCAATCCAGGTGCATCAAAATAAAAGGTGTGCAAAGCAATTCAGGTCATTTACTTTACAAAACAGACACAGCAGCCTGAGTAGAAAAGCCTACTGCTGAGTCAGAGCTTCCTGCTCCCCAATGACCAAGGAACACGAGTTTTGCTTATTGCAGAGCTATAGGTCTGACTCAGCAGAGGATATGTTAGACATCTACAGAGAGACCACTGCTTCCACACAGAGAGCAAGGGTCTTTCTATACAACAGGTTGGCAGGGGACAGGCTATTCTACTTTGGCTGTGGTTGCTTTCTAAGCATACTTACAAAGAGAATGAACATCCATTTCTTTGCTGTACAGCACATAAAATATATTTCACTAATTTAAACTGAGAGGTCAATAGAGTTTTAAAGTGTATTTCTAGTTTTAAAGTTACATTTGAGAAAACCCCTATATATATAAATATTTGTTTTTAGCTTATGCTATGTTAATGAGAACATGTAATAAATGTAAAATAGGTGTTATGCCAATTTGGCTGCAAAAAGTGGAAATAGACTAAGTACAAAAATACAAACCATCTGCTGTCGTTAGCCAACTAGTTATTTTCTAGTGACTGTGGGAGGGAAGGCACAATTATTGTATTACTACTAAAAGTGGAGTTAGAAATACATTTTGTTTTTTTACCTTGCGGATTCACAAGATGCACCCATAGGTGGAAACTCTTCCAAGTTGTTTATATTTAGATTAGATGCAGGAGGACTACTAATATTTGTACACACTTGCTTTTTGTTTGCACTCCATGTATTGTTCTCTCCCTGTCCTTCATTTTCAGTCGACCTTCTACTTTGGTCTTTAGGCACATGACGGCCAGATGAATTGTTCTTTTTCCGAGTACGGCGAGCAGTCTGCCCTTCTGGCGTCATCACCAAAAAGTTGCCAAGAACTGGTTTCTGTGCTGAACGCTTTTCAATGTGGTGAGAAATAGGACTGCAGCTTGAATTTGGACTAGTTTGAATACAAACCCTACTTGAAGAGTTTGTTAGGTTGGATCTGCTCATAAAAGAGGAGTCACTGTTCGTTGAATTTGGAGAAGCAAAACAATTTTCTGAAACACCAGAGGCATTGGGAGTCTGTGCAAACAGCTGTACTCTACTCCCCCGATGACCTGAAGGCTGGCTTGATCTCTTCTCTAGGATAGTCCTTTGGCTACTCGAGCTAACTGCTTTGGAAACAGCCTTAGAATTAGGTGTTTTCGCTGGAGTTGATGGTCCATTACTTAAAACCTCACTGGTCTGCTCTCGAAGAAAGTTGAGCAGATAGGGAACAAAGTCTTTCCGTAACAAGTGAAGAGGAGCGAGGTTGAAATCAACAGGACTCTCCTAACATTTAAACAAAGAAAAAACACATAAAATATCTTTGTTTTTTAAATAAAAACTATACCACTCAAATACATTAGATGATTACCTGGTTCAAGCACTCAAATAAAAAAGTAGCAATGTGGCTTGAATATAAGACACCAATGATTTGAACGATTCAAAAAAGTAACACGTCAATGATTGATGATCATTTAAGTACAAAATTATTTTTTTTTAAATTTAAAGCTGCCTCTAAATATGGAAATACTAAAACTGTTGTCTTTAATTTTGGGAAGAGACTGGGGTATATAAACTCACAGGAGGTAGCAATAGTGAACACATTGCATGGCCCTGATAGATTTGTTATACATAGGCAAAACAAACCCAGTTGGTGGCAGAATAATCCAACTCTACTGGAGTTTACCCCCCTCTACACAAATTGCTATCTGGTCACACTAAGAAATCAGCAGGCATGCATCCCTTTAGAGCTGAATAAACCCTAAGGTCCAGCTAGCTCTGGTCTTCCCGCATCAAACATCAATCGATGACATTTGATGGGCACACTGAGATGTGCCTATGCACACTGGCCAATACAGTGGACCACTTATGAGTGAAAAAGGAAACTTCCAAGAGTAAAAAACCTGTGCTCTATTTTTGGAAATAAGAAGTCTATTCATTATAATCAGGATTGCTTTGCCTCCCTATTCTCCAGTTAACCTTGAAATTGTGTTAGAAAAATGAGAAATATTTACAAAAACTTTCATCATTTTCATCTACAGCAAAAGTTTGTTTGTTTTTGTTTTTTAACTTGAGGATTAAATACGGGCTGCAGGTAATGATTATTTTCATAATCGATTATTTGCCCGATTATTTTTTCGATTAATTGCATTATTTTTTTTAAAAATCTCTCTCAACAACTAATCAGACAACTATTCTCATGATCGATTAGTTGGTTGCAGCCCTAGCTTGCCTGAGAAAGTGGTGTGAGCTCTGTGTTTTAAACATGATGTTCCTTAGGTCCTTTCCCATAGGCTGATCAGGAGGGAAACAGATCCGCTCCTGATTGGAGCAGTACAGACTGAATGTCACCACTGTGACATCCATGTCCATCTGGTTTTTTTCCTCCATCTTGCGATGGAGGAAAGAACTCAAACAGATGGACCCCATGTTGGTCTATGGAGAGTCAGATGTCAATGGACGTGGATCAGTTTACAACAGATTCCCCCCCTGATCTGGCACCATCAGGTCTGGCGAAATGGAACTCTGTTCTGTTTGTTTTTTCGGACCTGGCCAGAGTTGGGGGTATCCGGGTGAAAGCAGATCCCAAAAATATTTAGGGAACCTATGATGGGGGTTCGGGAGTTCTGCACTGTTGCAGACTGATAGGTACTGGTGATTCTGGGGTTTGTTCTGTCTTATTTTTGCCACGGATGTCTGAAGCCCTATACCTTCTCTACCAGTTCATGTTCTGCAATAAAGCATTTGAAAAGGCACTTAAAATGACTGGCGCCCAACTTCTTGATCACACATCCCTTCACTGGCTAAGGATCTGCCCTGAGAATGAAATGTCAGCCCTCTCTGCCCTTTGGGAGTCAGGGGGGCACTACACTACAAATGTGACATTTACAAGCACAACCTCTGCATGGGTATTCATTCCCAGTTTATTTATATATTGTATCTCTCAAACCAAAATAAAGACAATGGTACCAAAAAAGCAAACAGTGAGAGAATGCTAACCACTAGTTGCATGTTTACAGGGCAGTATACAGTAAGAGAGCTCTACTGACCGGGTATATGGCAGGATATAGTGAGGGGACTCTACTGACCGGGTATATGGCAGGATATAGTGAGGGGACTCTACTGACCGGGTATATGACAGGATATAGTGAGGGGACTCTACTGACCAGGTATATGACAGGATATTGTGAGGGGGCTCTGCTATGTACAGGACAGTATATAGCGAGGGGGTTCTGCTGACTATGTACAGGACACTATATAGCGAGGGGGCTCTGTGTACAGGAGTACAGGACAGTATATAGCGAGGGGGCTCTGTGTACAGGACACTATATAGCGAGGGGGCTCTGTGTACAGGACAGGATATAGCGAGGGGGCTCTATGTACAGGACAGGATATAGCGAGGGGGCTCTATGTACAGGACAGTATATAGCGAGAGGGCTCTGTGTACAGGACAGTATATAGCGAGAGGGCTCTGTGTACAGGACAGTATATAGCGAGGGGGCTCTGCTAACCAGCTTCTCCATAACATTGATACAAATGTAATTATATATGAACAGGAGAATGAAAGCCGTCTACAGGTAACAACATTCCAGAGAATTTTGACCTGTAACCCACACATATTTATTGGGACTGTTTAGGTGACATGATGTCATTACAGCGCTGGCACCAAGTGTGGGGTGTCACAGCGGGGTGTGCCCCCATGTTTTGATGGGTGGGCCTCAACATTACCTCGGCCTCTTTGGGGGGAAGAAGACGGGAGCTGCCATGGCAAACATGTTCTCTTTTGATGCAATCCCTGAACTGGGGACACTTGTACCCTGTTTCCCCTAAAATAAGACCTACCCCGAAAGTAAGACCTGGCACTCTTTTTTCCAGATTCCTGTAATATAAGACCTACCCTGAAAATAAGACCTAGTTTGGTGGTAGCATGTGAGGGGGAACTTGAAGAGCAGGTGGTGGTCTCAGCCTGCAGGGACATACTGTAATAAGGGGATGACAGGGGACTCCCTCCGGCCAGCGCAGTGACAGGGAGCACTCCGGTACCATACTTCACCAACTGCTGTCCCCCTGAAGGTGCTGCGTCATGTAATGGTACTGTAATGTGTACCGGTAAATGGTACCGTACTTTACCGCACTGTCCACTGTCTGATTTCCCCACTGCTGCACTGCTGGTACCATCGTCCCTGATGGCAAAGGAAGCCAGCGCAGTAAAAAAGCAAGGCTGCGGCGGCGGATCGAGCAAGCCCGCATTAGCCGATACTTCCTCTCTATAGCGCCAGTTACTGTGACAGGCGGAGTGATACCACATAACTTTGGATTGTTGTACATTTTGTTGCACATTCAAAAAAATAAATAAGACATCCCCTGAAAATAAGACCTAGTGTGTTTTTTGTGGGCAAAAAAAATATAAGACAGTGTCTTATTTTCGGGAAAACACGGTATAGTGGGAGGCTCTCAGGGGAGGCTAGCTGGTTCTCACTATTTGGCTCTTTTATGAAATCCGGGAGTATACTCTCTTAGTTCAGGTCAATGGTCTTTATGTATTTTTGTAGAACCTATTGGGACACACCATACGGACTTGTACTAAAGATGTTCCCTAAACGTTGGTGATGGGTCTTTGTGGGGAATGATATTCTTTCCTCTCCCTCTGATTAATATAGAGATATGTATTAGTCCATTATCAGGGTCTGGTCTTTGTCTCTCTATAGAATAACACTGATGACTGTATGGGGATTGGTGGGTGTCATATGCCGCATGGGGATTGGTGGGTGTCATTCGCCGCTTGTCATATGATGTATGGGGATTGGTGGGTGTCATATGCTGTATGGGGATTGGTGGGTGTTATAAGCCGCTTGTCATATGCTGTATGTGGATTGGTGGGTGTCATATGCTGTATGTGGATTGGTGGGTATCATACGCTGTATGTGGATTGGGACCTGAAAAGTCCCATTAGATATGTGTAAGGTTTACTTCCAGCTGCTACATTATCCTCTCCACTAATCACAAGCAGCCTGTCCCTCCCGCTGCTCTGTGATTGGTCAGAGGTGACAGGACTTGTAGTCCCCCCCGCAGCCTGAGAGGACACCTCAGGGTATGACCTGTTGGCACCGTGCAGTGCACACACAGACATGACACGTAGCAGAGAAGCACACAGCAAATGCGCACCATGAGCCAGCCGGCTGTATGCCTGGCAGGGTCCGGTAACCTTACGGCTTTTACAAAAAGCAAAACCCCGGCCGTCTCTACAGTGCTGGCAGGATTCGGCCTGCTGTGGGGCGCTCTACCTGCGTCGTGCCGGTCAGCCAGCGCAGCACCGCGTCCACCGTGACCCGCTCCTGCAGCACCAACTCCAGCACCGCCGCCATTCCGTACCCTGCGCGCCAACCGCGGGGTCCCTTCACGTCACGAACAGGGCGGCGCGCCGATGAGAAGAGGCGGGGCTACGCGGTCTGTAAAAAAAGGTTGGCAGCGAGTTTCGGAGAAAATGGGCGTAGCCTGTGCTTGAAGGGCGTTCCCTTGCGCCTGCCACATATTGGTGCTGCCGTGTGAGGCGGGACTGTAACATCTGGCTGAGGTGACACCGAGCGCATCGATTACAGCCATTTGGTTTGTTGTTTTGTGAGAAATACTGATAATAATGTACAGATAGGAATGTCATAAAGTGGAGCCAAATTCAATTGCAATATTCTCTAAATTAAAACATTAAAGTCATTTAAATAAAAAAATATATAAATATACAGTATATAGCTGCAACATTCAGTTCCCATTCACACCTAAGAATAGCTCAAATGCACATTGCGTTGATGCACATTCCTTTTCCGCATTTGCCATGCATCCTCATTGATTTCAATGTGGTCCTTAATGCGCTGCAAACACAAAAAAGAAGTTCATGTAGCAAAATCTGCAAAATGCGTTCCACTTCTTTTAACAGTAATAGCCACTAGTCTCTTCCAGCTGCGACTCCAGTGACCTCCCCTCTGTACACTGAACACAAAGTGTCACTCAGTCAGCACCACTGCCTGTCAGAGAACGCCATGTATTTATTTTTTTATTGAATACAAGACATTCTCTGATTGGCACTCAAAGGGATTGCAACCTCGTCCAATCAGATCTGACATCATTCCTTCTCTCTTCTGTCATTCAATTTCTTCCTGGCCAAGTCAGCAAACAAAACTCATCCTCTACAGTAACTAAGTTCATAGAATAGAATCCAAATCTCCTTCCTCTCCACCTGAGTCCCCCCCTGATGAAACCCTTGCCAACCTCCATTGTCAAAGCTAAAGCCACAGTGGAAGACATCTCCAACATTCCCCCTACCCCACAGTGGAAGACATCTCCAACATTCCCCCTACCCCACAGTGGAAGACATCTCCAACATTCCCCCTACCCCACAGTGGAAGACGTCTTCAAATTTTCTCTTGCCCCAGGGTGGAAGACGTCTCCAAAATTTCTATTACCTCACAGTGGAGGACGTCTCCAAATTCTTTCCTGCCCCACAGTGGAAGATGGCTCCAATATTTCTCTTACCTCACAGTGGAAGACATCTCCAAAATGTCTCTTGCCCTACCCCAAACGTCATTAAAGCCACTATTTAAAACCTAGACCCAGAAAAATCTTTTGATAAAACAGAATGCCCCATGTTAAAACACATACTATTCAAAAGAGCAGATGGCCCGACCTTACCATGTTCATTCAATATATCTACAACAGCCTGATGACCACATTATGCCGCCATATTGGGATACTCTGTAACAGTGGTTCTCAACCCGTGTAACCTCGGGACCCACATGTTTCCTTGGTCATTAAGGCGTGACCCAAAAATGATTTCATTTCTGAAACATTTAAATTTATTACACAAAACAACTTGTGCAGTATTCAGCAACATTATATATATATATCAACATTTTGAACAGTAAACAACTGAAAGTAAATGAATTAAAAAAAATTTAAAAGTTTATAAAGAATAAAAATTAAATATTTAAAAAAATTAAAATAAAAACGTGTTGCGGGGTACGGTCCCAGTGGATGTTTATATAATGGGGGGGAGACTGAACTATCTGGACTGGAGAGTACAGTAGATACAGCGGCGGATTGATATCTGCTGTACTCTCCAGTGCAGACCGGAACTATAACTTAATTGTCGGGCGCCGCGGCTCCTGATATTATTGCGCCGGCCCGAAAGTGAGGAAATAGTGAGGGGACAGTTTGACATGAGGTTCCACAGGCTGAACCACAAATTCCCCCTCTCTATTCAGTCTCAGGCCGGTCTATTCAGACATGACGCCGCGACCCACTGCAGAGGGTGTCGCGACCCACTTTTGGGTCGCGACCCACGAGTTGAGAACCACTGCTCTATAAAATGCACACAACTCCAGAGTACTGTACCTCACTAAATATATCAAGACAACTTAGAACACATCCTATGCATTTGGTGTAAGGATAAAATACACTACTTGACCATACTACATGAGTGTACCAACTTACAAAATGGTCTCATTTAACTTTGACATACATGGGCAGGATCAATCTGATAAAAATGGTGCCATTGCCAAAAGTATATGTTACTCAGGCATTACCACTCAAACAATCAGACCTCCAACGATTATTTCAGGCATTCAGGAGATTCATATGGTCTCTGCATATTACAAGGACCAACAAAGAATGAAGGCCTTAACTTCCCCAGCCTAGAACCTTACAACCTAGCAATTACCAGATATCTCTGGGACTGGAGTCATGGCACCAATAACTATATGGACAATGATCTACATCAAAATATTACACCAAACCTAAATTTACAGTATATAATCCATAAGCATAAAGAACAGAGTTTACTTCTAACCTCCTCCTGTAATCTTGCAGAACATCCTGGCACAGTGCCAGGTTCCAAACGTGTGCCAAACGTCAGTTGAATAGTCGCTCCTTATTTCTTCCTTTTTGGGGGAATCCTGACTTCAACGTTGTCTTCACGATATTTAAGGACTTGTAAATCAAAGACTCACTGATGTGAAATCCCTCACAAATACCTCCAGCTCACATTGCATCAGAGGCCTATACATTATTAAACTCTGAACTTTCTATGTTCTTTAAAGGAGCTCTTTTTTCCCCAATTCCCTCAATACAGCAAGGAGTAATTACTGCCCAATATGCTAATGATCACTTTTTGGTGGGTTATCTTCCTGGATCTCTTGAATGGGCATGTTTTGACAGACTGGACTTACAGGGTGATAAAATCACTGCAGGTAGTTAGAGGATTTTATACACTAGATCTCCTTGGCAGCAAAAAGCAATTGTTCACAAATGTATTTACCCCGAATCACCCAAGCTGAATCTTTTGCTGGCTAAACTGATCTTTGTCTTTACAATGGATTGGACTAAGACAACCTCATCAAAGAAAATACAGACACACGTGAGGTGTACAAATCATTTATTGACACTTTGCCTACTTTGACCAAGCAAAAAAATAAATGTTGTGCTGACTTCTTGGTTTATTACAAGAACACTCTCCAATGATCTCCCAATCCAAATATAATTCCCCTTTGTACAGTTATTACTTCAAATATAATCCAATCCAAATACAATTCCCCCTCTCAGTGCTTACTTCATGACTTCTTGCTGTTGGCTGACCACCGCTGAACAATCCATTTGTGGTAATTTTCATGTAATTGTGTCCTACTCTATCCTAACTGTTGTATTCCTTACCCCATTGTTTCCCTTTTCTGGTAGGGCTATGAAAATTAAAGATTAATTTCTCGATTAATCGTTAAACTTTTTGATCGATTAAAATTATTTTGATCGCTAATGAAAACACTCACCTCTCCGCCTGCTTCCGGGAGTCCCGTCGGCAATCCGGTATAAAACTATTTCGATTAATCAAACACGAAAATTTTAATCATTACCAGCCCTATTTTCTGGTAATCAGTCTTATGTGTTGCGCTGTTTGTACTGGGTTACATTTGGAAATACAATTTTTGATAAAGATGAAAAAAAGTAAATTTCCTTTAAATGTGTACTTACTTTTTCACACAATGCTATGTTTGTAAATAAAAAAGTCCTCAAATAAAACTCAGTTTTTCCCTTGTGTTTCACATATGTGATTTTCCCGCTGGGATATTCTCATTTTGTCCCAGTGACCAGTCAGGAAGACTGGGGTGTGGCATTGCCCCTTTATAGTGACCCTGCACTCCATACCAAACCACTAAAAACTCTCATTAGACAGTGGACTAGTAGTGAGTAGAACTTAGCCGTGAAGCCAGTAACAAACGTAAACTAAATCACAAGGGAGCACAGAAGAGACTTTTCTGGATAATAAAAGCAACAGTCATCTTGGGGTGTGCACTCTTAGACAGGACTTCACATACGCCCCAAGACACATTACGAAGTGACGAGTCATGCAGCTGGGGATGAAGCACCATCACAACTATCTTCCGATGATTTAGATAATTTAGAAGGGGCCGTAGTTCGCTACAGGACGACGAACATGCGGGAAGGTCCGCTATGGCAGTCACTCCAGAAAACGTGACCTGTGTCCAGAAAATGATAAATGAGGACAACCGCTCTCATTGCAGCTCCATGACTTGTCACTTCGTAATGTGTCTTGTGGCTGCCGGAATCGTCCTGGCAGAATGAAACTGCTGTGGATAAGTTTCTAAGATGTTGAATTTTAACACATGCGTAGTAAAGAATTTGTAAACTACTTATGTTTTGAATATCTCAAAAAATTTCAGAGTTACCACTCGTATTAAAAGTGTAAAATGTAATACAGAAGCCTCTTCCATTCAGCCCCAATGAAGCCGTGCTGGATTGATATCACTTTAGAAGTCCTCAGTTTTTTTTTATTCATGTAACGTAGAAGTCATTTATAGACAAGCTCATAAGGGTAACATTTTAACTTTGAATATCTTTATTAAGCATTAAACAGAAACATTTTAAAAATATTTAAAAAAAAAATGACCATGATTCTTAGTTTGTCTTGGGGAGTTCCAAATTAGGTGTAGTCTTCAAGACTGGGGGGGAGGCGGGGGGTTTCCTGATCCCCGGTATGGCAATCTGTTGACATTCTGGATCCCACATCCGTAACTGAACTGCATACTTCGGCAAAATATGTGGAAATACCACCAACTGGCCTAGAAATACAATGTAGAAATGTATTCTTTCTTCATCTGGCATTCATTTTCCTTTTCCAATGTGTACCTTTGGTCATTTTCTATATACAGCAGGTGCCAATGATATAGGGATTTACATGGTATAATAGGTAGGAGTATACGGAGGGACTCCTATGTCTAATCAAAGACTGCTGGTACACAGACATGCCCATGTGCATTTATGGAGGTAGGGAGATAAGTTACCTCAATAAATTGATTCAAATTTATTTTTCCCGTCTAGAGGTAGAAGGATGAAAGACGACTGCCGATTGGTTGCTGTAGGTTAACGCATTTTGCCAGTTGACAAAATTGAT